CCCCGCTGTTTGCTGCCTGTGGCCAGACTGCCTGCATTGCTCTACGGAAGATTCAGCTGTCTGCTTCCTTGACTTGGATCCATCAGCACTCTTGAGCTGAAGGAATTCCAGTATATTAACTGTTTCATGAAAATGAGTTGAACTGAACCCTCTGTACTGCTGTGTGGACTAATAAGCAGTTATATTCCTTCGTGCTATATATATCCATCCATTATATGTATAATGGATATGTATATATAAACTATATATATAGTTTATATATATATATATAAACAATCATAAGTGGCCTGGTTTTGTTTCTCTAGAGAACCCTAACACAGGTGGTAACACCTTGGGTAGGGCCTGGCTGAGCCTGAAAGGTTCTTCCCATGATATCAGTAAATCTTGGAGGAGGAGGGGTTGAAGGTTGAATCCAGTCAGTGGCAGTTATAGTGAGATCCATGTGGCTGTTGCAGGTGGGACCCTGCTGCTCCACCCGCACACAAGTCCTCAGGCTTCCTGGCTGTTGAGAGCCACGGATATGTGGAGGGGGCGCTGTGCTCTGTTCCTTTCTAGGATCTGCCGTTACTTTGGGACACTTTGCAACCTTGCCTGTGGATCTCAACTTGTATTCCTCCCCCTCCCCCCCGCCCCTATAAAAAGCTTAGCACTCTTTAGTTCTTTGAGTCATTCTAGTGAATTCTCAAATTCAAGGGCATAATGGGAGTCCCCACAGAGGAAAGTGGACCTGGAAACCCTTGAACCTAGGACCCATCAACTGAAAGTGTAGCGAGAACCCATCGCCGCAGCCGAATGCCATGACTTCCAACCTTGTGACTGGCGGCTGAGGTCTTGGGTAGATGATGCCCTTTAACTGGTGAGGCCTGATCTAGCTCTGGGTGTTCAGGGTCAGAGGAAGGGCTGCGTATGCAGCAGGTGTCAGAAAAATGGGCACCGATTTCTCCCCGTAATTATATTATCCCACACACTTATACTCATCTTTTGGGGGGGCTGTTGTTAGCAAAAAGGTGTTTTCTCCCTAAAACCTTCCCAATGGGACTTTGAACTAATTAGTCCAGCCTACTGCCAAGAACTTGCATTTCCACCCCATCTATAGTGGATCAAGAGCTGTCTGGGGTTTGAGCCCACATCCCAGGCCGTGCGTCTGTCTTATCCCCTTGATGCTGCCTTGGGGTGGCTGGTGGGTTCAAACCACTGACCTTTGGGTTTCACATCCAGGTACGAAACTGGTCACCCGGGCTCCTGCTCTTTTCAGGCCTCACGAGTCAAAGCCCAGAGCAGCTGCCCACTCCGGGCAGCCCTTCAGGACGGAGGCGGCCCCGGGGGCTCCCCAGCTGGGATCTTTATGGAAACAGACGGCCCTGCGTTCTTGATGGCAGCAGCCAGTAGCTTCAAACCATTCACCT